GAGATGATGAGAGATTAGATGGGAAGAATTATATTTACTCTCATGAATCATAACATAGGAATTACATGTGTTTATATAGAGATGAGATTTCCTAATCTATGGTAGATACAAATCTAAATAATAAATACAATATATTCACTAATAAATAGAAGCTACCCTCGACAATAACCGGATAGTAATTGGTAGAAAGCTTATAGAAATTTATTATTGAAATGGTGATTCTAACATAAAAGTTACATAGGTTCTAAATGTTCATTTGTATTAATTTGCGTTTCTATGTATAATATTCTAAACATTATAACATAGAAACACATATGTAAACTCAAACAATTGATGCCGTAGTACTAATTGCAGCTGAAGTTGAATCCAAACAACAAATGCAGAGACAGTAAATTGCTCACAAAGCAACCTCAACCGCAGAAAGCCTAACCACCATACTCTTTCGGTTCACGTTGTTTCTCGCGGTCTGGTCGCTGCTCTTCGTCAGAATGCCATTAAGACTCTTCTTTAGATCCAATCTCTGTTTGTAAGCATTGAGTTTACTCTTAGCCGGTCCATTTGCCAATGACCTATCACAACTAGCTTTACATGAGTGTTCTTGAGCATCATCTCTTGCATTTGCTTGACCTTTCAACGTGTTTTGAGGTCTAGCTTGTGTACTTTTAGGCATTGGTCTTGCTTTATAGTCGAGAGCTTTACGCACTACATCCTGCAATATCAGAAAATGTCCCTCTTATACTCGAAAACTGAACTGTGAAATTGGAAACAGAGTAAGTAAGAGATAAGTTAGTTTATGTCTCTCTACCTCTTTCCTCTTCTCTGCTCGTTCATTAGTTCTGAAACTGAAACCATTAGTAGGTGTTCTCTTCTCTCTCGTAGCAGAATCAATACAACTCTTGGACCTGTACTTGTTTGTTGTAGATAGAGGAGATACTCTCTCAGTTTTCTTTGATATTTGTGCTTGAGATGCAATGGTTTTAACAATCCTCTTCGGCTTCAATTCCTTTTGCCTGCCACCAAAACCAAATAGACCCTTAAGAATGGTGAAAACATAGACTTAAAAAGTTACAGGAAAAGAGAGTTATAAACCTCTTAGTGTCAATAGTACTGGTCTTAGTATAATTACAACTTGGAGATCCCTTTGTTATCACAGCATGCTTCTTTGTAGACCCTGCAGCATAAGTAATCGCTTTCCGAACATTTTTCAAAGGCTTCGATCTAGTTACAGAGGAAACTTTCGTTTCTTTTTCATCCTCTAGAGTTATCTCACTGCAACCAATCTCAGATTTCTCCATAGCAACAGAAAGAGAACTATGCTCATCATCATAACTCACGCAAGAATCGCCGAATTGACTCCTTTCTTGATCACATTTGTCTTGTTCATAGCTGTGGTGGCTACACTGACTCATGCTATCCCACAACTTCTCATCTTTCTCAGTACCGGTTTGATGATGATGAACAGCTTCTCCCAATGTTTGAGCTTCTACAGAAGTCGGAAATCGGATCCCTTTCTTCTTGAAATGAGCCTCAAAATGAGCTCTCATCTGAGTAACAGAGCCTGGTTTAGAGAATTTCTCAGCCTCTTCTAAATATCTATTGTGAGAAAAAGATGATCTCGTCTCCCATGATAAAGCTTCCTTCTCAAATCGTCCAAACGAAACAGATCCTGAGTGAATAGAATTCTCCTGCAGCCATTCAGAAACAGATTTTTAAGGCTTTTATTGTTTCAAACACAACTTTTTTGCGTTTATGTTTGTGAAATAGAAAAGAGTTTCAGTTTTTTCATTAAGTGATTT